ATGTCTTTTTTTTTTTTTTTAAGTTGAGAAAAAACAACCATTACAAGAGATACCTAACCCTTTCCACCAGAAATGAAAGTCAGAATGAGTTTTCTACTACAAGAGGAGGGGGATTAGTGAATTATTTATTACTATTACTATTATTGGTTTTTTTTGTTTTTTTTTTTTTTGAGACAGGGTTTCTCTGTAGCCTTAGCTGTCCTGGACTCTCTTTGTAGACCAGGCTAGGCTCAAACTCATAGAGATCTTGCCTCTGCTTTCATGAGTGCTGGGATTACAGGTGTGTGCCACCGTGCCCAGCTAATTAGTGAATTTTTAACACAAGTAGTTACTCTTTGGGACACTGAGAAATTAGATTATTGTAAAGCATAGTAATCTCAAAATGAGGCCCTCTGGAATTAGTAAGCTGTCCTCGGTGGTAAATATAATTGTTTACTCTGGAATCTTGAAAGCAGACAGTTTTGCAACCCCAAAGCAGAATTCACTATTCTTCTGTCTCTATGGCTTTTGCTCCACAGGCAACAGGAGAGCTGTCAAAGCCTTTCAGGGGAAGGTGGCAGTTTTGGCACCTAGAGCCTGAGAACGCTAACTCGTGGTGTGTACCATGGGCTTTTCCTGTCTGTTTTCAAATTGTTTCAAAGTAGTCAGTGTTTTCTCATGATGAGTATGAAGCCAGTCTTTTGACTTTTATACTTTTCTCTGCTATACAAGCTTTATTGATGAGACAGGAAGCTGAGAGTTGCTGATCAAAGGTACATTAAGTAGGTATTTGGCATATTTGATGTTTATCAGAGAAACCCAGAGGTGTTAAATTGTAAATCACTAGGTCTTGCTCCAGAGATAAAGACTCATTAAAATGTATACGTGTGTAACATATTCCCAGTTAGTGAACAGCTCATCAGAGGGACTGCTCTTTGGGAATTACCATAATAAATCAAACATGGAGTCAACCTACACAGAGCCATTGAAGTTATTCATGAAATCAATGCATTTAATGAGCTATCATCTTACTCAGATAATACTTAAATCACTTCAAAAGCAGATTTCCAGAAATTAAAGACCTCAAATGTATGCAGAGAATTAGATGTGTCTCCACTTTCTCTTGATGGTAGCAATGTTAATGCTAGCTGAACACTGAGAAACTTGGTTGCCTGCTCTACTTTAAGCCATGCTAATAATTTAGTCCATGTGAGTTATGTTAAGATTTGTTTTTTTGGGGGGGGTCTCTAATATATTTCCTTTGATATTTCTTCCCTCTAACAGCAAATACTATTTATTCCCAAGTACAGTTTATTAATTCAAGTGGACCTAGTTTGAAGTTATTGTTGCTTCTTGTGATGATCCAGTTTCTTTTCTGTTTCCCAGAAATGACAAATAATGTTAATATTAAACTAAATGCTTTATACCTTAGTAGAGAGAGTAGAGTTTTATAGACTAGTTCTGTTCACGTTCAAGATAAAAAGTCTTAAGAAAAAAATCTAAATAAGGACCCTTCTTTTTCCCAGGGCTGTGCACAGTGCTCCTTGGTCTCCACATGCTTAACTTCCACATATTGGTCACAGAACCCCTTTGCGACAGAATAGCTTTGCCATGGCACTAATCCTTGGCTACCTTGTCCACAGTGTGTCTCTGGTCAAATCATGTTTTGGTCACATGGCACTGGCCTGTGCTTATGTCAATCTGAATGAATATTCCCTTCTTTTTTTTCTTATGTCCACTTTACTTACAAATCCTACACGATCCCCATGGACTAGATTCCTGACATGGCAATCTGCTGTTAATGGTGCTACCCTCAAAAGCAAGTGGAAAGAATACTATTTGCCAACATGTACAAAATGTGCTTTTTTTAATTTGGAAATTATACCTTTAATATTGTTTAATTAGTTAGATATATTCTCTGGAAAATAGCACTGTATCTGTTTTCTGATTTGTCCAGAAAAAAAAAAAAAAAAAAAAAAAGCAGGGAATGTTGTTTCTTAAAAGCTAGAGACCTCTTGTGGTCATTCATAATAGTTCTTTAAAAACAGAAGTACTCGAATTTGTCAGGTTTCAAATTTCTGGCTTAAGTGACATTCATTTAAAAATACAGGTATCACCTAAAACCTGACAAAGTACATTAGATCAGTAATAGGATTCTACAGTCCATAACGCAGATATATGTACACATATATAAAACCTAATATATATTTCAGTGATCACAATACTATCTAATAAGTTAAAACTATCAAGTCATCAAATATAGGAAAGTGTAGAAATCATAACTATTTAGTTAAAAACTTTTCCAAACTCTATGTTTGTGCACCAAAATATCTGGAAAGTTTTTTTACAATTAATAAGTAAGGTAAATAAATCTCAGAGAAATTGTGTGATGTGCTGTTTTATAATATCAAATTCATCTGGACTTCATTCACTAAGGATTATTTAAGTGGCTAGGCATTACAGACATAATTGGCAAGACATATTGCCAAATTATAGGACTATGATTCTTAATCCATTTTTTAAAATATTTATTTTTTTCTGTTTTTTTTTATTATTTGAGAATATTGTACATGCACATAATGTCTTGTTGTTCTGATTTTTGAGACAGGGTCTTACCATATAACTGTGGCTGTCCTGAAAGTTTCAGCATAGACCAGGCTGGCCTCAAACTCACAGAGATCTGGTTGTCTTTGCCTCAAGTGCTGGGATCAAAGGTGTGCACCACTACCACTTGTTTTTGTTTGTTTTAGATATAATAACATTTCTTTGACTGAGTGATCTAATTCATCTACTTTGTCTTCAAGTCCTGATAGTCTTTCTTCCATTTGATCCATTCTATTGGTTTGCCTGGATCTGGTCTCTTTCCTCTAGCCACCACAATAATGTGGTGATGTACACAGGGATGAAGTATGCAAACAATTAGTAAAACTCTGAATAAATCTGTGAATGAAAAGGTTTTATAACTCTCAAGTAGCTTTTATTGGCCTGGAAAATAAAATAATTTTAGATCATAGATTTTTAGATACAGCAGTTTGTCTGTGCTTGTTTGGATTAAAAAAAAAAAAAACCAAGACAAACATCACCATTTGTTTTTATCATTTAATGATATCCTTGGACTGTTCATTTTTTAAGAGGTAGAAGAAATTTCAGTATAAGAAATTAAGGATATAACAAGTTTAAAAAAAATAAAAGGAAGCTGGGTGTGGTGGTGTAATTAGATTCCTATGAATTCAAAGCCAGCCCGTTCTACATAATGACTTCCAGGTGATCCGAGGCTATATAAACCAAAAACTGAGGGTCAAGGAAGGAGAGAGGAAGGAAGGAAGAGGGAGGGAGAAAGATGGAGGGAGGGAGAGAGAGAGAGAGAGAGAGAGAGAGAGAGAGAGAGAATGATTACCTATATTTCACATGCTTAATAATGTTAGTCAGGACAGATATGACAATAGCATCTAGAAACACCAAATAAGCAAAATAAAATAATGTGTTAATTATACAGTCTACTTTTTTTTTTGGGGGGGGTGAGTATAACTATGGTTCTTTGGGCCAGTTTGGAGAGTTGGGTCATCAGTTAAGGGGACTAGCTGCTCTTCTAGAACCTGGGTCAATTTCTAGCACCCACATGGTGGCTCACAACTGTCTATAGCTCCAATTGCAGGGATAGCCCCAGTCATCATCCTTTTCCTCATCATATAAGTCAGCATCCTCTCCCAGGTGCAACCGTACTTTGTAACATCTTATTGCATTCCCATACCAGTGTAGGCCTATAGTTTTGTACATCTATATTTATCCACATAAAAGTAAAGGCTGGACGAGGGATCACATTAGTAGTGGAGCTAAAATTTAGCTCCACTCTGCCTGAGGGTATGCCTCCATGGTAGAAGCCCTGAGCATCTTCCCACCCAAATGACCTGACTGAAAAATTGTTAAAGTGCTCAGTTCTGCTGTTCAAAGATATAAGAATACATTGTAAGCCCTTTCAACTCATAAAAGAAATATGGAGAAAGACAAATGAAGTATAGTAAAGGAGAGGGAACACATCATAAGCTTTTAAAAATCTCTTTCAGGGGCCTTCCTGTCTGGGTGCCTGCTGCAGTACTTTCCTTTTGCATTCTCCTGCGCATCTGCCGTAAAACTCTTCTTATTTATTGTGGCTATTTATGGTGTTACACCTGACCCCAGACTTCTATATTGTGTGCAAGGTCATTCACAGCAAATGCTTGTAGTTCCTGGGATACAGGAAAGTGCCTGGAACATAGTGCTCAAATAACATTTGGTAGTGAAATATAAAGGAACTATTTTCACAACAGTATTTATTTGAATTTGCCGAAGAAGAAATTTTGTTAGTTTTCTTGACTCCAGATTTTAGGTGACACGAAGTTATAACTAGAATTAGAATATAGAATATGAGGTTGTCTTTTTCCTGATCATGGTGATAAAGAGACTATTTTAAAGGCAACTGGCCTCGTGCGAATTATTGCCATTGCTTGTACTCTCTTATTTATCATCTCAGTTCTCACAAAAACCTTACAAATGAAATAAAATGATCTCTTTTTCAAAAATAGAAAAGCAGGACACAATCCAAGGTATTTCTGCTATGAATGTATGTCCTCAACCAATAGGCACTTTTACATTGTCGTTGTTGCTTTATTCATGAGATGCATTTTTAGTACCCCGTAGTAATATCTTCTAATGAAAATCCATTGAGACTTAATTGCTTTGCCTGCCAGAACTTTCCCACCAAAGTAAAAGAACTGAATGTCATGAGATAGTGGTGCTTTTATGCCCAAGCAAAGTCCAAAGCCCACAAGTAATTTGCTGTCATAATTCTTCTTTGCTCCCAAAGCCACACAGCCATATTTTGGAAATTTTCTCTACCTAAAAGTCATCCCATTACATTTTGCAGGTGACCGACCTTTCAAACAGACCAGGTGGCACAGCTCTCTTGTGGGAGGAACTACGTTTCCCAGAAGCCAGTTCGTTCGCCCAGCTCGTTCTTCCGGCAACAGGGGGCCTTGGGAAACCAAAGGGCGCTGGAATGAGCCTCCGGGGCAAGCAGGCCCACGGACGAAGCTGCCTGAGTCCCTGCTCCCCGAAATGGCGCAGACGCAGGACGAGGCTCGGGCAGGGGCGCCCCTGAGGGCGGAAGGCCACCCGGACGGGGAGGTCAGGCTCATTCTGTACCATTGGACGCACTCCTTCAGCTCTCAAAAGGTAACCGCCGGGAGCCCAGGGCCACGCTCGGGTTCAGCACTGGGACAGCTCCCCCGGCGTGGCGCAAGGGCCAGCGGCGGCTGGACCCGGGGACCCTGGGGGGCACCAAACGCAGCCTAGCAGGAGCGGGGTGACTAGGAAAGGCGGTGATGCAGGCACTGTCATTCAGGAAGCGCCGCTAAGACGCTTCGCCGTCTGCTTTTGGCCTAGAAGTTTTGCCCTGGATAGCGAGGCAGGAACCTCTTGATCTATTTTCCTTACCCCCCAGAACCCCGTACACCCCTCAAAATTAGAGTTTTGGGTCTCCATAATAGGCTCTTCCTTAAAAAAATAAAGAAAGAAATAACGAAGTTAGGTGTTTAGCTCAGAGAGAGTCCTTGCCTAGCAAGCCCCTGAGGCCCTAGGTTTCTAATTTCTAGCACCTGAGGGGGTGGGGTAGGGTGTTTAAAATCATGTAAAGGCACCTCCCCGCCAAGGGAATGGAACTGCTTTTATTTTCCCAAGTTGGCATTCTTTGATATTGGTAGAAACATATATTTGGCCCTTTTATGGGCTCACCTAGAGCTGGAGTTACAGGCCCTTGTGAACCACCGGTTGGGGGTGTTGGGAATCAAGCTTGGGTCATCTGCAGGAGCAGTACGTTCTCTCAAACCAGCGGTTCTCACTCTTCACAGTGCTGCAGCCTTCCCATACATTTACTTGGCGCATGTTGGGGTGACTCCCAACCATAAAATTATTTTCATCGCTAATTTGTAACTGTCATTTTGCTGCTGTTGTGAATTGTAACAAATACCTGATCCACAGGATAGCCGATATGTAACGCCTGCGAAAGGGTCGCTCGACCCCTAGGTTGAGAACCACTGCCTTCAGCGCTGTTCTATTTCTCTAACGCTGTGCTTCATGGGTTTTGTCTGGGGAGAACAGATAGTTTGGTCTAGGGCACAATGGCCGTAGAGGTGATGGAAAGAGAGCGACTGTAAGGAAGACAGGGTAGTTTTCATTCCTCACCTTTCCCTCTATAATTTATAGCAGTAAGCTGCCAGTATTTATTCCTTCTAGGAACAGACTTCATTAAGTGAGCGTTTGAAGTGCTGCTAGCTCAGGAAGCCAACCACGGCTGTTTAGCTGTATCCAGGGGAGGCTTTTAATTGAAAACAGTAGTAACCCCTGTGAACTCTTCCAGGTGCGCTTGGTAATTGCTGAAAAGGCATTGAAGTGCGAGGAACATGATGTAAGTCTGCCCCTGAGTGAGCACAATGAGCCTTGGTTTATGCGTTTGAACTCAACTGGAGAAGTGCCTGTCCTTATCCACGGGGAAAACATAATTTGTGAGGCCACCCAGATCATTGATTATCTTGAGCAGACTTTCCTGGATGGTAATGTGAAGGCTATTTGTGATTTTTTTGCTTTATTATCAACATAAGCCCCCCCCCCCTTTCTCTCCCTCCTACCCTCTTTCTCCTTCTCTATTTTATTATAATCGTTTAGTGCTTTAAAAATCTTTTCCATTTCCATAAGCACAAAAATTTAAAATAAGCCAATGCACAAGTTTGAAGGAATTGCAAGTGCACATGTTAATCTCAAAATTTGCAAATTTGCTTGCAGCAAACTGCAGGTGGGTGGTGCTTTAAAGATTCATGATGTTGATTCTTAGTATATACTGTGAAAATAAATTTCAATTAAAAAAAAGAGGGAGAAGTATTAGAAAGGGAGAATAGATTGTTACTAACTATACTTTGGGTTCTTTGCTTTAGTTACTTCTGCATAGTTTGAATTTTTATCCTTTTTAGGGTTTAGAGATGTATCATGTTTTAAATTAATGATTGTTTATGACTGCTTATGTGTCAGGCATTTTATATTTTGATTTTAATCAGTTGTCAAGAGAGCTCATCAGGAACAGGTGTGGAATCTGAATGAAGTGTGGAGACTAGTCATTCCATTTTGCATGTGAGGAAAGAGAAATAGAGGGTTTGTTTAAGGTAAATGTAACCATTTTATGGCAGGGTCTTTGGTCTTCAAAGCCTTTGGTCTATATCATTTCCCATCTTCTTTGCCATGTACAAATTCTCTTGCTTGTTTGTATGGACGGCCTCTCAAATCAGCTGTAGCTTAGTGACATGGCCAGGTTGACACAGTGGACACTGCTGGCCACTAGCAGAATGGGAGAACAGACCGCAAGGCTTCACACTTTAATTCTCTTTAATTCACTTTAATTTAAAGGCTTTCACTTTAATTCTCTGCCAGACAGTGCTCTCCGGGTGATCCAGCTGCTTACTTCCTGCTGTGCTGGTGCTAACTGGACCATTAATGTCAGCATACAAACCCAAATTACCAGAGCCATGGAAGGAAACTAATGGGCCAAAAAAAATGTCTATGGTTTCTAGAAGGAAAATGGATATTAGATCTAATAGGGGAAATAGATTAGGAACTCAGTCTTTTTATATGAGTGGAGAAGTGCCGTTATTTTTTAAAATGTTAATGGACCAGAACTCTCTTGGAAGTTTTAACTAAAGGTGGCCTTGACCTGAACCAAACAGTGTAGAGAACTACTTACTTTTCACCATTGCTGGCTATCCTTGCATGTTTATATGTTGGGGACTGTGCTGAAAATGGAGACAAATCGATTTAAGATACATTTTCTCAACCTTGAGCTTTTTGGAAATGGATAAGACCATTCATAATTTGCATAATTGGGAAAACTGATTAGAATAATAGGAATAAAGCAAAAGTAATTGCATAAGAATTCTATTTTAAGTGACTAAAATTTTAAAAAGTTGTATTTTTTTCATCCATTATATACAATGTATAACATAGACTGTATGTGCTATATAATATATTATATATTACATATGCAATACATGAAGGTGATACTTAGACCTCTGGTAACCTTGTTTGAACTAATACAACTTGTATCAATATTCCAGTTCTCCCTTCACATTTGCTTATTCTCTTCCTTACCTCATCTGAAACAGTGTTTTATAGTAAATGTTAATTATAGTTGTTTTTTTAAAATTTTCTTAGCATTTGGTTTTATTATATAACAGCAAAGCTAAAATATAGTTTGAGTTTTGCTAAGTTGTATAAAAATCGTAGCCAAATGGGAAACAGGTTTCTTGGCTTATTTATTTTTGAAGTAGAATTCAATAGCTCAGGTTGGTCTCAGATTCACTATGTGGAAGTAACTATTTCTTTTTATGACTTTATTGATGAGATAAAGTACTATGGCTGACTGATAGGCTAGAAATGTGGAAAGCATGGGCTTTAATTCTGGTTGAGCTTCTCTGGTGAGGAACTGTCAGTTGTTTTCACTTCTGGCCTGCTGCTGCTATTAACCTGTTGAATATCTTTTGTAACCGTTGAACCAGGTGATGCGATTTTATCATTGTAAGATGAAACAAATCCAACTAAATTACTTCATGTTCTTTCCCAGGAAAGTAGTTATCCAATTGGAGAAGACAAAAAAAGATCAAGACACCTATAGTTCTGGGCAGATATGATGACCAGTTTGCATGTAACAATAGAATTTACCTCAGGATATTGAGACTTAAACAGACCACAAACATAAGAATTACCACAGTTATAATCCAGACAGTTAGCATTTACCATTAAGGACTCAGGGGAACAAGAAAAGAGCCAAACAATATATAAATCCATGTCATCCCCTTGCCAAAGACTAGGACAGGTGAACTACCAACCCTTGTCCAAATGTGGTCCATCAGTAGCAGCACTGAAATTAGCTAAGATATTGCTTACAGCACAGAATTTTAGACCTCAAAGCAAAGCTAGGGGCTTAGGATCTTGTTTTAACAAGAACTTCAAATTATTTATATGTGCATTAAAACTTTACACTAATGCTATAAATTACTTTGTGATGCTCAAAGCAGCCCTGCAAATTACCCTGTCTGGCAAAGTTCTAGAGTCACTTGCCAGCTTTTTTTTTTCCCTCCCCCTTTCATCTCTCCAATTGGAGAACTACTTTCCTGGGAAAGACGAAAGAGTGAAATAAGAGCTGGTTGGACCTGTTTATCTCTGAAACTGATAATGTTGGCAAAGCTTAAAAGAGAACTTTACATATTCAATTTTTATGTCTGTCAGTAGAAGGAACTAACTTAAGTTTTATGTTGTTGGAGAATGTTATAAGTACCCTGTAAAATGTGTCTAGTATGTGTAAGCCATGCTGCAAAATATAATATATCTTGATCCAAGTAGTGCATTTTAGATTATATAATATTCTTATGGAATAAAGATACAAATATGAGTAGAGCATGATGAATTAATTACCATGTCTGCGCGCCACACTGAATTACCCCACTGAAGAATATATTGACAAACAGATTTCATATACTGTGCTGACCCTCCAGCTGTAAACACATATTTTACTTATTAATATTTGAATTACTTTTAAGTCACTGTAAGAGGTGTGAGGTCAGAGACTATCTTATTAAAAGCTGTGCCCCTGTGCTTCCTGCAAGGAGTGCTCCGTTAAAGATAACAAATAATATTGAGTGGATAAAATGAATGAATTATTGAAATATCTGTCATCCTGGATGGGGGCTTTCTAGTGGTATTTTATTGATTGGTAGATTGATTAATTGAAGTTGTAGAAATCAACCCACCGGTTCATACATGCTAGGCAAGGGCTCTGTCATTAAGCTGTACAGCCAGCCCTTCAGTGGTGCTTTTTCAAGCTTTGGTTTCCTGACTTGAGCTTAATATACAAAAATGAAGACATTAAAGAAATGGTTCCATATTTATGAACAATGTAAAAGCTGGGATAATTAAAATGACAACTCTTATGAAATGTTTCTTGTGGAATATGAAAAAAACCAGAAAACTAAGATGAAGTTTAACAAGGCTAATGTAGCATGTGAATTTTGGTTTTGAAAATTAGCTGCAGTTAGAATGAGTAAGCAACCTGATTGTTAGTCAGTTTCTAGGGTGTGTGGCCTTAGGTTGTTTTAAAAGCATTGGTTCCGTGTGGACTGGACAAACTGCAGTGCTCTGCATTCTAAACTGCTTATAGTATTTGCCATTTTGTCTCTCAAAGTGGATTTTAGAGGAATGGTAGGATGATAATAAATATGGTTTCATGAGGTGCATCATTACCCATGGTTGTAAGGTTATAGGAAGCGCCCTCTAGGCATAGTCATTTAACCAAAAACCAGGATGTTGTGAACTGGTGTCTCTGCTGTTAGTTGCTATACTTTGTTAGTCAGTCGCTGAGGTTTATGCAAAAAATGGTGTTTCACTTAATAGTTTTACATATTCATAGTCATATCTGTGTCCTGTGCTTTTGGGATATCTGATAAATAATTATCAGCTGTATAGAAGAAATTTGAATCAGGATGCTCTTTTGAAGTCTTAACCTAAAGTAATTATTTAAGTTGCCTAATAGCTACATTACCTTTGAAAGCAGACTCATAGAGATAAGAGTTATGTTCCCCAGGACAAGACTTTGGTTAAGGAGGAACTTAGAAGTTCACAGTGACAACTGCTTATCCAGGGGAGTGTGTTCTCTTCGTTCATTCTCTCAGGACCATTTACCAGGCATTCATTAGATGCAAGCTCCTGGGATATGGAGTGATATTTCAAAGACATCAAATCATTAGACACTTGTTAGTCTTCAAAGATATTTTCTATCTGTTTCACGAGAATACCTAACCTGTCCTTAGCATGCATGTAGTACATTGTTACTGTTTAGTTTTATAGAATGTTTTTGTGTCCATTCTGCTCTTTCATTCATTCATGAAGAAAATTACATTAAAAGGAACACATTAAACCAGGTGAGATATGACACCGAGCAAACACAGGAATGGGAGATAGGACAAGGTAAATAAATAGTTGGATGTTTAAATCCAACTATTTCTTGTAACAGCCTAAATGTTTTAATAAAATTTGTCTACTATGTTAAAAAAATACAAGGCATGAAATAAGTAGAAAATACTAGAACATATGATATTATTATTGCCTAATAGCTCACAACCTGGAGTCCTGGATGTTATATAGTGTTTTTATAATTTGATATGTAATAGTTCTCTGAAAATATGTCCTATGTCTTATGTCTATCATTTAAAAGTGTGAAAAAATAGAATTTGCATTGGAAATAAATTATTTTGGTATAATGAAAAAATATAGAAATACGATTAGGAAGATATTCATCTTTAGACACAATTTTGTCACTGTACACTGAAATTTAAGCATAGCATTAAAGAATATCAATTCTGAAGTCATCATTTTATCTTATTTAAAACATTTTATATTTATTTTTTATTTTACATGGATGAGTATTTAGGTACGTTGGATTTAATCCAGTGTCTTGTAAATGACTAGCAGATATTATGATTGAACCACACCCTAGCTTCCATTTATTGCCCGTTAAAGCCACTAAACCTGGCTTGCATTATTGCAACTTTACCTTCAATGCTTTTATCTCTTTTATCACCTGCTTTTACAAACTCCCTGACTTCCTTCCTGATCCCATGTGCTTTATATTATCCACATTCCTGACTGAGGTAGAATACAAAAAAAAAGTATCTTTTAAATATCCTTACAATGATGGAAGAATTAGAAAGTAAAGTAAAGATGAGATTGGAGGGAGGAAGTGTATAATTAAAGAAAAAGTGCCAATTGCCTTTTTGTTTGAGTACTCCCTATGTAGCCCACACTGGCTTAGAACTCACAACTTCTAAGTGCTGGAATTGCAGGCATGAGCCACTTGCTGGGCTTGATTATCTTTTGAAAACCTTTGGTAGTGAGTGATGTTGTCCTTTGGTGTGAAAGGAGGTGGCTTACGTAGCACTGGACAGAGCACCCGTGAAGTATTTGGGGAAAGGGAGTGGGGAAGAGGTCATAGGTGATGTGGGCATCTTCTGCCTGACAAAGTGCTTCAGCAGATAGAGGCTACCAGTGCAGCACTGAGTAGAAGAAAATTATGTTCATGGCTTTAAGGGTCAGTTCGCCTTTGAAGAAGTTGGGCTTAGCCAGGTGGATTGTACCCAGAAAGCAATTAAATGTTGCTATTCTTCCTCTCATTCACTTTTCTGGGAAGGAAGTGGTATGTTCTTTTGGAGAAAGTGCCAGGGCCTGGCACCAGAAAGCAGCCCGACCCAGGAGCCATAAACTTGTCATTTGGGAAGCGTTCAAAAATGTACTGTTTATGGTTATTAACCTGAGGTTCCTGGACTGCCAAGGCAGAGCTTCTTAAGGCTTTTGGATCCCTTTGTTTTAAAAATTATTGAGGACACTTGCGAGCTTTGATTTGTGTGGGTCAATATTTACTCTTTAGAAATGAACCAGAAAGGTTATGAAGTCCCAGCACTCTAGTATCTAGGTAGCCACACATCCCGATAGCTGTGGTGCCCTGGAGCCAGTGCACTTCATGTGGCCTCTGGAGAGCTCTGCGGTTACAAGGCTGAAAAGCCATTAGCGTCATGCTGTTGCTGTAAGACATGTGGAATTTGGGAAGCCTGTGGCTCCTCAGTTCACACATTGAGAACCCTGTCTGTAGATGTACAAGCACAGGGAGAGGTGAGCTCTTAGGGAGGTGTAAAAATTGTCTCTGGCTTTGTTCTTTTTCTATCAGGACCCTGTCTTTATTTTCTATTACCAATGCAGACGTCAGGAGTGCAGCGGCTTCGTCACCAATAGAAGTCACAGATATGGCCCAGCATCTTAAATTATTATAGATGGCTTGATATTTTTGAATCAGGGAAGTTATCAGATCTTCTGCCAGATATTAGTAATGTTTAAGAATTATATATGTTAGTATTTAATAAATTAATAAGTAAAAAATTATTTCTTTAATATATTGTAATAAGCTCTGTAGTCCTGTGTCTTATATTTTATGCGTCTAAGGGCATTATTATGTTTAGAAAGGCCAGTGGCACTTGCAAAGGTGAAAGTGCCTGCCTGGGCATTTCATAGCTTCTGGCTTAGTGTCCTTCTGGAAATGGATTGGCTGGGGAGCTGGCAATATTGCTAAGATCCTGAAAAGTCTGTAAAGAGCTAATTAAGGTAGGGAGTGTTGAGAGTGGGTGTGGTACAGGCTGCTCCCGTCTTGTGTTCACATGGGATCTGTAATCAAGTGTTCTGCTTGTTTGAGTCTGTGGTGGGGAATGTGGTTCCCTCGCTGTTGTTATTCAAGGTGGCCTTTAGCGTTGTACTGTCTAGCTGGGGATCAGACATTTGCCTACTGGTTTGAGGAACTATCCATGATTTCCTTCATAGAGAGAAATTGCCCTCTGGCTTAAAAAGCTTCTTCATCTTGGTCTGGCATTAGGAGAGTCTGCTTAAAATGGTCTGTTAACGGCAACCAACTATGAACTGTCAATATTTATGAATGACTGTGGTTTGCTCAGGGCATTCTGACTTAAATTAAGAACCAGAGCTAAGAAATGATTATATAAAGAATATGGAGGCTCTTTCTTGCAGTAGTGGAGATGGTTGGCATTTTTTAGAACAGTTTGAAAGGCAGATTGGGAAATGATTCTGAAGGGACTTAGCCCTGACTTTTGGTCTCATTGTTACCTTTTTTTTCCCCTCTGTAGATACTGTTTGAAATATAAGTTCTTAAAATACATGATTGTGTAATAAGTAGAACATTGTGTTACTGGTCGGGTCACATTTGTTTTTGTTCTACCTATCTTGGGCCAACTTGCCAGTATCCATATTGTAGTCTGTATTGGGTGCCACAGAACTTTCCCAACGCAAGTATTATAGAATAATTGGAAACTTGAGGATGTACTCTATAATTTATCACATGATGACTACATGTCAAATAGTTATTAGGCTTGAGAGGTCTGACAGAGAATGATATGTGCTCCCAGACCCAATGGGGTTTACAATCTAGATTTTTTACCAGCAAGTGAAGATTTAGGCAGGATGCATTTGCCAGGGTTAAACTGCTAGAAATCTAGGGAAAATGAAATGGGTTTTTGAGCAAAAAAATCCTGCCTTTCTTCATATAGATTGATATTTCATAGTTAACTTAGATTCAGTCGGGTCACTCTTGGTTGACACATAGAAAGGAATGGTCCTTGATTGCCTTCCAGTAATAAATACTAATTCATTTATACTTTACTATACAACCTATACAGTAATTGCCTGTCCCAAAGACCTTCATGAAGAAAAAAGATACAACTATGTACAAAGTGGCAGGGCCTCTGCCAGAGTACATTTAGTGTTTTACAGCGTGTAGAGCAAGGTACAACTGAGCCTGTTGGGTATAGGAGGTGAAGGCATGCTTCATGAGGAAGTGATGGACCTGAGGATTGGACCTGAGTGTTGAGCAGGAATTTACATGGTGGAGAAATGAGAGATTACTAGCATGTCATGGTTTGGAATCTGATCTGGTACATAATAAGCCTGTTTCAAATGTTGAATGTCTGGGCTGGAGAAACCTCATTGTCTGAGTGTTCAACTACAATGAGCTTTTAAGGATGAAGCATTAGGGCTTTCCCTTTTGAATGTAATGTCTTATTTGTCGCTTTCCTCTAATGTTTATATTTATATTTTTCCATGTGTATTTTAGAAAGAACACCCAGGCTAATGCCTGATAAAGGAAGCATGTATTACCCGAGGGTGCAGCATTACCGAGAGCTTCTTGACTCCTTGCCGATGGATGCTTACACACATGGCTGCATTTTACATCCTGAGCTCACTGTGGATTCTATGATTCCAGCTTATGCAACCACAAGGATTCGCAGTATGTAAAAATCTTAAAGGCGCCAGGGCCTGATTCTGCCTGGAGTTTATCATTTAGACTTGATCTATCCTCTGCTCACTGAGAGGAAGACTGGGAAAAAGGATTGTTGAGTTTGCTTCATGGATGTACATGGGAGTGCGTTAATTCAATAACCTGTCGGATTAATCTATCCCTCAGCAATTTAACTAGATATATATTATCAATTAAGTCTAATTTGTTAGCTTTTGGTTTTGAGACCAAACTTGGATTAAACTTAGAAAGTGACTGACAGAAAGGTGAAGAACATGACATGTTCTTAAAAAGATGGACTGGGAATCAGAAGAGCTGACACCTTTTTGGGTGTTTGGGCAACTGGGTCCATATTTCTGTTCCTTAATTGTTGTTTCTCAATGGGAGAAAGCTAGATTAGAGGATGTCTAGCCATCACCTCTATGTTCAGAGACTAGAAATTTTTTTTTTTTGAGATTGAGTTGTGACATGTAGCTTCCCTACTTCCTGTCACAAGGATATGCTAGGTGAGGGTGCAAGATGTGGAGCAAAGTGTGTTCTTCAGTGTAGTTGGCTACAGCTAGGAAGGACAGAGGTGCTCACACTTGGGAATGTTTGGTGACACTCAGTCTCCACTCTTCTAAACCCAGACCACTTTTTTATCATGAGGTCTCATTTGTTGTTCTATTAATTTTCTTGTTCCTTTTTTATACTTTCCTTTTTCCTTCACACCATCTCTCCTTTCATTTATCTTCTTGCCTTCCTTTCCCGTCTACCCTCTCCTCTCCTCTCCTCTCCTCTCCTCTCCTCTCCTCTCCTCCCCTCTCCTCTCCTCCCCTCTCCTCCCCTCTCCTCCCCTCCCCTCTCCTCTCCTCTCCTCTCCCCTCTTCCTAGAACTCTTTTTCCTTGTATTCTTCTTCCTTCTCTTCCTAAGTACTTACAATGTCATTTGAAACACAAACTCTTTGACAACTTTTATCACCTATTGCTAACATTATTTTAAAACAAGGTTGTCCCTTCCTTTTGTCAGAGAAAGCGGAAGAACCATGGAGTTGTCAGGCAGGCCAGTGTCACAGAGCATGGTGGTGCCTTGCCTTGCTGTAGCTGCCCACAGCAGCTTCTTAGGAAGTCTTTTGACTGTGTGCTAGGTATTTTCTAGCTACATTTTAAATGGGGAAACTGAGGTAGACAAAGTATGTTCAAGATAGCAGTAGGCTACCTAGAGCTCATACTCTCATCAGGCTGTGTCCCTACTTTTCCTCGTGTTTGTGACATGAGGGGGGAAATGTTTTTCTGCTTCAAAATGTTTTCATTATCAGGCCAGATTGGTAATACAGAATCTGAACTGAAGAAACTTGCTGAAGAAAACCCTGACCTACAAGAGGCATACATTGCCAAACAGAAGCGACTTAAGGTAAGGGAACAGGCTCGCTATACCTCACCCCACTGTATTTTTTTCTGGAAAAGAAGACTGCCGTTTCTAGATCATCTTTGTACTGTTGTGGGTCATTGGTGCGTGTGATTCCTGTGGCCTGTGATCCACTTCGAGAAAGACTTCTGAGGCCATTGTAGTAGCACATGAGCCAGAGGGTCACTGACCTCCAGACCAGCTGTGGTTACAAAGTGAGATACTTTCTTGAATACTCCCAAAGAAAAACAAACTTCCAAGCAAGGAAAAAAAAAGAATTTTCTTTATTGTGTTTAATAGTCAGAGCCAGTATAAGAAGCTATTGAGCATGGAAGGTGATACATGTAAGTTTTGGTTAATATAATATAGGAATCCCTCATAGCAGGTGGTCAGCCACTTAAAGGCTCTGCCCATCATAAAGAACTTAGGTAACAGTCAGCCTTTCCCCTTCTGTTTGTTCTTTGCCCATGCCCAGACAACACACGGAAGCTTCTTCCGGTATCATGCATGTAGCAAGTGGCATTCCCAACTCTCCCTCAGCTTCCTACCTTCCTTTATCCTCTCTTAGCAAAATGTGCTCAGAGTACATGCCTCCACAGTCACTCTCTTTAACTTCCACAGTCACATTCAGTCTTCTCTTCCATCTGTTCTTTCCCCTTTTAGTATGTGCGTGTGTGTGCATGTGCAGGTGCGTGAGTTTCTGCATGTAGAGGCTGGAGGAACAGTGGCTGCTCCTCAGGACTGTCTCCCCTTATTTTTGAGAGAGGATCTCTTACTGATTTGGGACTCACTGATTTGGCTAGGCAAGCTGAGGTCCAGGGATCTGTCTCATTTCCTCATAAAGACCTGTCTAAAATGAACAGGTTTTAATTCTGAAAGTATGTATGTGCATGTTATAAAATCTAACTTGTGTCATATAGTTTTGTTGTTGTCATTAGGCATAAATAGCTTCTTTTTTGGGTTGTTAATTAGTCAAAGCTGCTTGATCATGACAATGTCAAATACTTGAAGAAAATTCTTGATGAGTTGGAGAAGGTCTTGGATCAGGTGGAGACTGAGTTACAAAGAAGAAATGAAGAAACTCCAGGTAGGTTTTTCATTGGCTTTTGTTTTTACTGAAACACTAGGGGCACTTGTAGGAACATTCTTAGGCCTCACTAAACATGTTTTGTGATCTGTTTCTGTGGTTGCTCCTATTCATTCACAGGCAGTTTTAAATATGCCATTTCACTAAGAAAAACTTTGCTGTCTAATTGTAATCAGTTTGTATCAATGCTAAATGTGACTTAGAAAAGGCTTTCTCCACGTCTTCAATGATGATAGGGAGATGACCCTTAATCAGCTCCACAAATCAATAATTACAGTAGTTTGCTTGATAACCTGAATAATTGTTTGAATGCCCTCTTTGGTTTTTCTCAGTTAGGGAGATAGCTTGATGTGTGAAGTGGGAGTCAGCAAGAGAGTACAGTGGGCTGCTGAAATCTACACATTGCATCTGTGAGCTTCAGCAATCAGCCATTTTCCATTTATACATGGGGCCATTGGTGCATCTTAACTGAATATTGTTACCTGAAACATTTTTTACAACAGGGACACAGCTGGGTTTGTTGGCTTTCACCTGTCATCTCAGCACTTGTAAGGCTGAGGCAGAGGCATTGCTAGCAGTTCAAGGCCTTCTAGAGATAGAGTAAGCCCTTGTCTCAAAAAAAAAAAGGAAAGAGTATCTCCCTTCCATTCTATGGAAATATAACGATCCTTCTATCTCCATGAGAGTTGGTTGGTTTCAGGAGGATACCATACTCCATGGATGGTCAGGTCCTTTATGTAAAATGATTTGGTATTTAAATGCCCTCCTGTATGCTTGAAGCCATTCTTGATTACTTTTAATGCATTGTATAATGGGAAGGGCATGCATGCAAATAGATTTTATAATGTATTGTTAAAGGATAATAACGAAGTTTGTAGTTGCCCAATAGAAATATAGTATTTTTTTCTTAACTATTTTTAATCTTGTGGATGCAGTTAATGATATGGAAGGTGTAGTGGCCTCTGATTGAAGTTTTAATCATAATTTTATGAATCTTTCTAAAGCACACTAGTGGCTTTCTTAAACCAGAAGGAAGTATCAATCTATCAATTCCTCTGGCTTGTAGCCACATGCCTTCTGAGCCCTTTAAAAAATGATAGAAAGTCCTTGAGCTCAAGTAGTTCTAAGTTTACTGAGGGACTTCAGTAAACTTGGCTGACAGATGTCAAGCAAGTCTCTGTTAGTTTGGAGTAAATCTGCATGACCGTGCTAGTCAAGATAACATGTGGTTGTCTTTCCCTTTAGGGCTAAGACTGCAAATGGCAGCGTTACTCTGTCTGTACAATGCCTGTCCCTAATTCTTAATTCCCTCTCTCTGCTTAGAAGAGGGCCACCAGCCTTGGCTCTGTGGAGAATCCTTTACCTTGGCAGACGTCTCTCTGGCTGTCACATTGCATCGACTGAAGTTCCTGGGGTTTGCGAGGAGAAACTGGGGAAATGGCAAGAGACCAAACTTGGAGACCTATTATGAGCGTGTCTTGAAGAGAAAAACATTTAACAAGGTTTTAGGACATGTCAACAATATATTAATCTCTGCGGTGCTGCCAACAGCATTCCGGGTGGCCAAGAAAAGGGCCCCCAAAGTTCTTGGCAGCACTCTTGTGGTTGGTTTGCTTGTAGGAATGGGATATTTTGCATTTATGCTTTTCAGAAGGAGACTTGGCAGCATGTTATTAGCGCTCAGACCCAGACCAAATTATTTCTAGTTTTGTTGGGTTCTGTGGTAGCAACTCATCCAACCATTCCATCAGACCCTCACCCTCTTTTCCAGACCCAGTGGAGACTTACCCTGGGCAACTAGTAGAAGGCATATTTTACAATATTTTTTGGGGAGTTCATGTGGGGAAAGGAGCTATTGATATGGTTTTTTTTTTTGTAGCCAACATGACTTACTTCTAATCTATCTCTAAAGCAAGGAAGTGAAAGGTAAGGATATGCAACCACTGACAGGTGGGAAAGAAGTCTTTGATGTTCTCAGTTTTTGTGAGGTAATTATGAGCAGACAACAATAGCCTGTGACTGTTCATAGCACTTCACCTGAGAATGAAGGTGCTCAGGGTGTTGAGCAGTTATAGGAGCCTCCTCTGGGATTCAGAAGTCATCTTTGTCACACTAGACAGGGTTCAGATACCAACATGACATAGTATGGCCTCATCCTCTACTGACAGCTTCAGGAGTAAAGGAGAAAATGGGGAAGGAGAGCAAGGAAACGAGAGAATGAAGTACATCTAGGATAGAGCAGTAGCCTGTAACTTCCAGTGGCCTGCATTGTTGCTCAGGGCTGCCCCTCTCCTTGGTAAACTTCACATATAACTGTGTGGTCATGCCCACTCCTTCACTGAGAAGTCTTAGAAGGAGAGGGTGGGGAGTTATTGGGAACAATATACTGGGGAGACTCCTATACATGACATACAAAACACCTTAATTATGAGCCACAAACTTGTTGGTTTAATAAGATTAATTATGCCCTTGACCGTGGGATGCCTGTTAAACTCTATGTCTAGCACTTATATGAATGTCTGAAGGTAAAGTTGTCCTCATGGCTCCCATGACCTTGTGAGATACTGTACTGTGGACCACTGTGTTCAGTCTTGGGAGCCTTGTTCTCTACAGCCCTCTTTATGCATATAAGTAATACACATGAATGTCTCAGATAAATATCTTGGCTTCTGGTTGGTAGTGGGTAATTTGAGAGTCAAACATGTTCATGTTTATTTGAGGAGACTGGGATATGCAAACTGTTGGCCAGGTTTTGCTTTTGTTGTTGATTATCAACAGAGCCTTAAATTGAAGAAAAAGGAGAAAGGCTAGCATCAGCTATTGACAGTTAATTTGGGAGAGATAAAATCCATAGCTAGTGATGCCCACCCATACTTCTCCATGTATGTTCAAGTATTTGGGGGGTTATCTCAGTCCAGATGGAAGAGACAGTTTTAGTATGACCTAAGAACAGCTACTGAACTACAATGCATAATTTGTGCTCAGGAAAAACCTCCTATTGAAACAAGAAGGCAGTTTGCCTGGATCTGGCTGTCAAGGCCATAGAAGCAGCTTCAGGAGTCTGATGGGAGGCTTGTCCAGAGCAGTGAACTCAGATTCCAGTGAGTAGTGAAAGCCTGCTTAGATGGACTCAGGTATGCACATGGCCAAAGAATGTCCTGACTTTTTGTTAATAGGAAAATGTCATGGCTAGAAAACAATGACTTTCTGATGGTTAAAGCAATTCTGTAATTCCATTTTGATTCTATAATTCCATTTCATAAGCTAGATGTACTAGAAAACCCATATGAACTGGATGTGCTCTGTTCGTTAAAAACAAACCGAACAAATAATACTCCAGTGTGAACACCTCATTTGACCTTAATTATGAGCCATACTTGTTGATTTAATAAGATTAAGTAATTATCAGATCAATGATAATGAAAATGCTTGCAGCTTTTATACCATTTTAATTTGCCCATCAATGTGTCATACAGAATGAATCTGCTTCTTGCTAGGACACTGCTGTCATCATGTTTATAAAAGAACTACAAAATTAATTGACTATTAATTCAGAATTTCTTACAGTGCTCTGCTGTAAATAAAAAAATGAGGCACACAGAAGTAACAATGGGAATTTTGTAAAAAATCTACAAAGGGTATTTACCTGTAAAAGGATTGTTAAACACTGACTTTTCTTTCAGTATATGTTATGACTGAATCATGAAATCACTGGAAAATTATAATTTTATTATTCAGTTTATTTGGAGGTAGATGTTTGTCAGTGTTAAAGGCAAAGTATTCTAGCCTTTTCAATGTTTTATAGGTATTCTTGACATTGCTTTAAAACATTTAAATTGATAACACTATGACCACTAGGTGTCGCTGCTCACCCAGTAGTCTAAGATTGTGTTCCATTAGGCTCAGCATGTCTGAAAGGTTTTAAGTGAAGATAAACATTAATGACCTTAGTTTCTGAAGTGAGGGCATCTTCATCAAGATTATTCATCTGTGAAAAGGCTTGAGGCAAATGTAGTATTGATTTCTTATGCTTTGTGAGTGATGACAGTACTGTATGATGTCAAACTAAGGAGGGGCACAGCCACTGTTAGCCAAAGGGACACTTTAATTCATCTTCTCTTTCAGGATCATGGCTAACTAGCCAATGTGCTTGTCAGGAAAAAAAAATGGTATAAATGTCACAGTTAGAAAATGCACAAGGCACTAAAAAAGCTATGTTGTCTATTTCTCTCTTAATACACATGCATACTATTTTATTATTATTGCCACTATATGCCTTTTCATTCTCAACACTTGTGAACTGCTTGCTCAAGTTTCAGTAATTATTGCTGTTGATATCAAAGTTGTAGATGGTGTTGTTGACTGTCATGGGAAATCAAAATATTATTCTGCCTGTAAGATCAATAAAAATAATTTGAAAATAAACTTTTTTTTTTTTTTGGCCACCAAGAGCTAATTTTAAAAAAATCTCTTAAAATTACATATTTTCGCTTACGAATGAAAGCATCTGGACTGGGTGGTGTCACTGTCACTCAGTGGTGGAGAACTTGTCACCATGCAAAAGGCTTGGGTTCAATCCCAGCACTGAAAAAGAAAGAAAAACTATTAGAGGTTATTAGAAGAAAACAAGCGCTGCAGTTTTGAAGACACATAGTGATGACAAGCTTTTCTTGTAAGTCACTGAGTCCATTCAATACACAGCTTATGGTTAAACTGAGTGGAGGCTTAAAGAGTAACATTGATGTTAGTTATTAATGTAAGGCATATAGATGTCATCCATGATGAACACAGTGTTTAGTAGGCTTCGCGTGTTGCTCTCAGGATAATTTATGCCTTTGACATGGCTACGTCTCTCCCTTTAATTGGGTATGGATTGTGAACACACAGACCACTGCTTGCATTTCCAGCCGTAGTAAGCCTAGCAATTGTTCTAAGTAGCAACTAGAAATTGAGCACTATTTTAATGTTACCCTGACCCAAGCAAATTAAGCAGAAGTCTTTTGGCTCTCATCTTTCATGAGTTCACCATGCAAAAGTCAATACCCATGGAAAGCCAAGCAAATGTGCAGCTCATCTCAGAGAAGGAAAAGGCACCACTGTAAAAACACAAAAGGAAAATTCAACAGAAATAGTGTTTAGACTTAAGTTACATATTGTTTATATCTATTCCTGGCTCATTTATTTTATTGTCTACACTGACATCAGAATATCTTGCTTCTTAAATGCTTCCAAGCATTTTAGTAGGAAAGGTAGTGGGTTCTAAAGCAATCGAGTAAGCTGAATAGAGCACAAGGACAGTAGTTTGTCTTAATTGCTGCATTATGAAAATGAAGCACAACAGAAAAGAACACTCTGAGGGAAGCACACCCAGGAAAGCTGTCTCCTTTGTCATTGGCATGAGCTGAAACATGGATTCTGAGGATGGAGGAGCGAAGAATGGAAGAGCAGGTAGAACACACTCCATGGTAAGAGTCAGCAAAGCCATGAGGGTCTGGAGACAAAATACATGTATGATGGGCGGTAATGTACTCCTATGAAAGTAGAAGGGTTGTCTCACCCACAAGTGCCTGGCCAGGAATCACGTCAGAGGAGCTCATTACTGAAACCCTGGCTCCTCAAGGACAGCATTATAGAATTGTTACACCGTCACATCGCAAGGAGCCAGAAGTATGGGTGAAGATGTGAAGTTGCAAGTGAAATATAATGTAAACTGTAAGGTTTCCATACTGAGGGAACAGCCACATGTATACTTCAATTTCCAATCAAATCATTCTGGGTGTATGTGTGGTCAGGTGTATTTTAAGTGTGCATTTGTATAGGTTTTATATGAAATTAAATTGTATTTTGAATGTAAGAATTTGATAGCCAATAAAGTTACTGATACAGCAACTAAACACTATGTTAATAAGCATATGACATTTTGCAGGCATTTTGCATTTGTTGATTGTGTTCATAAGACAAACACTTTCATTAAGGTGATTAAAAGCAGATGAGGCTGCATTGTAAAAATGGCTTCAAAATCTGTCCTCGTTGACATGCTCCCTCCAGGAATGCTTCCTAAACCTACCCAAATAGTGTCACTAACTGGACTTAAATACCTTAGATACTGGGACTTCGATACCTGAGAATATGGGGAACATCCCCCTAAAACCTCCACAGGGATCAAATTCAGGCTTGCTTGCCTGGCAGGCATCTTACTGACTGGACTCTCTACCAGCCCTCACTACACTCTCTATTTCCCATATACCTTATGATCTCCTCCATATCAGGATCCATTTTCTAGTTCCATGACCCACAGTCACATGTATAAAAGCCACACACCCCAAATTTTAAATTTAGGTTTTGCACATGTGACTTATTTAACAATTTCCAGTTGCATCTATTAAGAAATTTAATTTGTAATAATTTTGTTTTCTTCAGAGAGCACTCAGGGCCCAGATGTAGTCATTGATAGTTTCTCCATATATGAAATAAAAAAAAGCTCTACACACACTTTTCAGAAGACAAAATGGAATGCTTCCAAAATTATTTTCTAAGACCAATGTGATCCTGGTGTCAAAACCTAAGGTGACTAAGAGAAGAAATCAGAGCCTAACTTCTGGAGTTCCTAAGGGCACTAAAGCATAACCAAAATGAAAGAATCGAGGCTAGGCACATGCAGCTTTTGGTTTGAGCTAAAGGCTCTCTCTAAATGGAATTGCTGGCCTGGGCCAGTCCTAGCATATGACTTAGAATTTTTTTTGAATACACTCCAGAGTCCTAGTTAGGGATACTATTGCTGTGATGAAACTGTTGCTGTGATGAAACACCATGACCAAAGCAGCAACTTGGGAAGAAAGGGGTTATTCAGCTTACACTTCCACATCACTATCATCAGAGTAAGTCAGGGTAGGAACTCAAGCAGGGCTGAACCTGGAGGCAGGAG